TATTATTATTATTATTATTATAAATTTTTGCGACCGTGTTGCTATTAGTCATCGACTGCCGACCGTTCCCGTAGAACCGTAAATAGAAAGCTAGTTTTCTCCTCCAGTCGCACGGCCCTACCTCCCGCGTAGCTGAGTGGGTTTGCGCTGGAGAGGCGCACGCTCCACGCGCTGACGTTAGCCGAGCTGTAGAAGCTGCAGAGCCCCTGATCGACGCTGCCGCAGACGATGATGATGTCACTGTCGGGTTCCTTCAGCAACACCTGCACGCCACCGCACGCAGAAGCAGACGCCGCAATTGTTTTATTAAATTTATTAAATTTTTATTGGAATTAAATTGAAATGAAATTGATGCAAAACTGAAATTAAATTTTTTCTTTTAAATTGGTAAACTTAAATTTTTTTTTCGGTAGGTAGCGTTAGCGGTAAGTCGGGGAATGCGATCGCGGAGGTGGTCGCGGTGGAGGTTTGAGAGCGGGTGCATAGCGGAGGGGTTGAGGATAGGCTCGGAGATAAATCTCGACGTGCATTACCTTATTTTCGTTGTCGGTCAGAGACCTCGGCCCGGTGCAGTACTCGGGGAACGGTCGACAATCCGGACTGTCGTTGACTGGCCCCGTCACGGCCTTCGCTATCAACTTCAGCCTGCTGTCCAGCTGGTAGAGCGCATTCGTGGCGCCTATGCGGAAGGTAAACGCATGACGGAGGTGTCAGTCTATAAGCCGCGAAGGGCAACAACTAGACGAGGCTGAGGTTCCAAGAAATCGCAGCGAGCTGTTGTGCAAAAACTGGCTTTCTTGAATTTCGTTGAACTCGAGTTGAGATTTTCGATGTAAAATTTGATATATCTTCAGCCACCTGTCTTACGCGTCCCTTGTCACTCTTGTTCCCGCGGTCTCTGCCCGCCTCGATTCCCCCCTCTCTCACTCTCTTACTCATTCACTCACTCACTCACTCACTCACTCACTCAATCACTCGCTCTCTCTCACTCACTCACTCACTCACTCACTCACTCACTCACTCACTCACTCACTCACTCACTCACTCACTCACTCACTCACTCACTAACTAACTCACTCACTCACTCACTCACTCACTCACTCACTCACTCACTCACTCACTCACTCACTCACTCACTCACTCACTCACTCACTCACTAACTAACTCACTCA